ATTTCTTTCACAATTTTAGTTTTCATATCAAAATGTCATTAATATGAAATCATTTGATGAGTTTTTCCTTCACTTTGATTATTAAAAATTCAACACTGAAATAAACTTGAAACATTAGAATAAACATGAAATAATATTTTAGAGCAATAATGTAAACTTACTTCATCAACTTTTCTTACAAAATATAGCCCAATCATTCCAAAGACATATAGTAATAATTATATAAAGTATGTTCATTTATCTTCATCTTTCCAAACTACCTCGTAAAAATATATATTGATGATTTGCTTTAGAATGGTGTTTGTTAGATAAAACTAAAAACTTAAATGTTAAATACCTTTGCAGATCCATATTTTTCTTTCATCCAGGATTATGGGATGAAGAGCAAAATATATAATTAATGATTTACTTTAAATGCCCTACATAGCCTCTGTTAGATAAAACTAAAAGCATGGATATATTTCAATATAAAATACCTTTGTAAATATATATTGTTTTATCATCAAAATTATGGGATAAAAAATAAAATATTTGGTAGCTTTTCCTTCACTTAAAATATTAGATATTCAACACTGAAATAAACTTGAAACATTAAAATAAACAGGAAAGAATAATTTGGAGTTATAATACAAACTTACCTCATTAACTTCAGCTACAAAATAGACCTGAATCATATCAAAGATATATAGTAATAACTATATAAAGCATATTTATTTACCTTCATTTTGCTAAACCACCTCATAAAAATATAGATTAATGATCTGCTTTAGAATGGTGTTTGTTAGATAAAACAAAAAACTTAAATGCTAAATACCTTTGCAGACCCATATTTGTTTTCCCTCCAAGATTATGGGATGAAGAGCAAAATGTTTTTCCATGATTGTCTCCTGTTTTTCTTGTTTCCCAAATTTAGTTGTCACTAGCTTAAATATCTCTTGCACATCTTCTGCTTTGGGATTTGTAGTTATCTTGCTTTTGAGAAGACATGAATCCAAAAAACTTATAAGCCTTCCCTTGATCTCATCCACGATTGCATTCACTATCTCTCCAACACCAGCAAAATGTCCTCCAACTTTGGCCCCAATAAATAATAGGATCAATGTATTTTTAAGTACTGGAGCAAATTTCTTGAGCCAATTTGGTGGGAGATCCAATTCAACACCTATAGAACTCTTTACTTGATGACCTTTAGAAGTTCCTTCAGGCCATTCACACAAGTAATGAAGTCTACCATGTGTTCCCAGTATTTTACTGTAATTTTTCCACATATTATTCTCATCAAGAATATATGGATATTTTGGGTAATCTGTCTCCAATTTCAATAATACTTGAAAACACGTTGTATGGATTGCATTCACTTTATCCATGATAGACTTGAGTCCATTTTTGAGCTCATTAACGCTTACTTCAATGTCATTAAGTTTTGTATCTAACTTGTCAAAACGGTTCTCCATTTTATCAAACATCTTCTTAATATATTTGAGGATTGCATCAAGTTTTGGGTCTTCAATGTTTGGAAACTCAACAACATCTAATGATGCTTTGGGAATTGTGACTTCTCCAACCTCCTCATAATCCTTCAAGAGTTCATGAAGTTCAACAAACTTATTCACCAGTTCATGTTTTTGCTCCTTAAGCATCAATAGCTTAGCCAAAGCATTCTCATCTGAGACCTTCAAATCATTATTCACATCCCAACTCTCTGCTTCATGTGAATAATTCCAAGTGTGAGAGTATTCTAGACCTCTTTCTCTTGCTTCATATTTGACTTGCTTTAGTGGACAAACAACTGAAGCCCATAATTCTAATTTGTCCACCTTATTTAGTATCCTTCTCCATACATAACCACGTCTCATCACATTTTCTTCAATTTCCAAAGATGGGCAATCCTCCATACATACCCCAATAATGCAATTTCTAATTTTTTCCATCCATCCTTCAGCTTCCTTTTCTAAATCCGGCCTTGGTGTATTCTCTACCTCTTTTGGGTAGTAAATGATGACATCAACCCATTGCCTATCTTTCCAGTTGTCTGTGTCTCCCCCAACTCTCACAATTATCTCGATAAGGTTTTTTTTCAAAGCCACCCATCCATTCCCAAGCCTGAAACCTTTCTTGCTTAATTTGTGAAGTTTAACTTGGATCTTTGTGAAAATACTTGCAGGAAACAATTTCAGGTCCTTGTCTTTGCATTCAAACCTCCTGCCCCAGTAGTTGTGGTTTTTTTGAGTGTTAATTGACAATAAATATCCTGGAGGTGAATAGTCTTCTTGCAATAGTGTTGGCATTATCAACTCTTTGGGCAAGTTATGCCAATTCCCATCCCATGTTTCATCCCAAGGCAATATCACTCCCATCTCATGGAGCACTCCAAGAATGTACTCCACTATTTTGTCTTGCTTCCCACATTGTTGCTTCAACTGATGTTTAACTTTGTGTGTTTCCATTTTACTTTTGAGTTTGCTTGTCTCAGTATGTATGAAGAGTTGCACCACATCCCTCATAAACCATTGGACATCTAAGATGACAAATTGAGACACAATGTCGTCCTCTTCATGTCCCAAGCCAAAGTAAATTGCATCACCAGAATCATGTAGAAATTGCAAGACAAATTTGAGAACATTCTCGGAACTCCTGTGAGGCAAGAGGATTTCGCCAACTTTGTCTAGGGGTATGACCTTCTTGTGACTTGCACCTTGTACCAGTTTCCTCTTTGCTTCAAGACATTCCTGTGGTATTTGTTGCTGGTTTGACAGCAGTTCGTCCAAGCAACTCCCCAACATGGTTTTTATCTCCCTTAAAGCTTTCACTTGAGTGGCCACCACCTCAAAACAAAGATCTGTCCCAAACTCAAGTACTTGCCCATAGCCTTTGTCGGAGATTATTGCAGAAACCACCTCCTTTGGGTCAAAGTCGGGTTCTGGAGTGAAAAAGTTCAAGGCAATCAAGACCCTGGGCTTCCTTTTGGGTGAGGCTGATTGATGTGAAGCGATGAACCTCAGCCAGTAAACCAAATTCTGCTTGAAAACGTCACAATTGTCATCCTCCACCTTGCATACGATCAAGAAGAGATCCTTCTCACTTCCTCTGAGAAAGTACTGGTGGAAAGCATGGAACTCTTCCTGTCCAGCCAGGTCGCAAATGAGCAGCTTTTGTTTGGTGGTCGCAAAGACAAGTGGTTGCAGCTCAATGCCTGCTGTTGAAGCATGCCTTTGGAGACATGATGGAAACCAAGACACTCTGCGGCAGAGGTTTTTTTTTATTGTGGTCTTTCCAACCCTGCTAGCACCACACAAGAAGAGCTTTGCTGTTGACGGGTTGTCAAAGTCTTTGAATGCACTCTGCTGGAAGATTGCATTCCGCTCTAAAAGACCAGAACACCTCTGCTTGAAAGCTTCAGAAGCTTCGGAATCATCACCTAGCTCAAGCACTTCCACGAGGCTTTGGTAGTTTTCCTCCAGGGCAGCCAGAATTTGTCTTTTCTGTGCATCACTATCAAGAAAACGAGCCCTGAATCTGCGCACCTTGCATTTTGGATCCCCCAGCAACTGGCAAAGCTCTTCCAGGTTTTCAAATTTTCGCTCAGATATTTTCAAGTCTTCAATGCTGCTTCCCAAAAGGCACCTCCATGGCAGCTCCGACTCACATGACAAAGCTTTCAGAGACTTGCAGCTGGTGATAGCTTTCCAAAAGAGCTCCCCATTCGTGATTTTGCACTCCGATATACGCAAATGCTCCAGTTGGCTCTTCTCTATGCCCTCGGCAAACTCCAACGTTAACTCATCGTCTTGTCCCGTGCTACCGCATATTCCCAAATGGCGCAGCTTACAATGTGGACTTGAGAGAGCTGACCACAGACTGCTGTCCCAGACCACTCCTCCTCCCTTTCTAAGGGTCAGAGGAAGCTGGCGGTGTCGCCTATGCGAATAAAGATGAAGCTTGATCAGCTTGCAATTGCCCAACCATCCACCACCATCACCTGGATAAAGTGTAACGCTGAGTTCCTCCAAGCCACACTTAGCGCTGCTCAGGGCCTCACCCAGGCCGGTTGCATTGCTCAGGTCCATATATTGGCAACCTAAAACTGACAGGCTGGTGCCCTCCTGAAGAGCCTTGCATACCCATGGCAACACTCCAGGATCACTAATAAGTAGGTTTAGTCTAAGCGAGTCCAAGCTGTTCGTGAGTGCCTTGAAGCGTGATAGTCTTATCAGTGGAAGGTTTGCTCCCACAAATAGGTATAGTCTTTGCAGTGAACAGTTTGGACTCGTGAGTGCCTTGAAGAGTGCTTCACCTGCCCCCTCTGGAAACGATGCCCTCAGTTCTACTAGCTTATTGCAAATGCCATTCTGAAATGCCTGTTCCCACCCTTCCTTGCCAATGTCCGTATCGATGATGGATAACTCTTCCACCTTGCACTCCTGACTTGCCAGATCCCTACTCAATTTCCCAAATCCTTCCACTGTCATCCT